CCTCAATCAATGTTCAAATGTGAATGTTTCGGAATATGACTCATTCTTCGATCTTCACGATGTTTGGTATCCGGGTTCGTAAATATGAAGTTCAAAATTAATGTTTGGGAAATTTGAAAAAACAAACTTGCCAAAAAGCAACTGTGCATTTGAATTTTTGAAAATAATTTTCTTGATGTAGGTACCTAGTGCTCCATTTTTAAACGCAATTATTTTGGAATCTTTATTTCAACTATTATACTTTTGAACACAAGTTTCGGGGGCATTTTCGAAAACTATAGAACAATTTTAGCGCAGTAGAACTGGCAACAAACCACCATAAAGAAAGAGATGCTGTCAGCTGTGTTATGCTCACCCCTGTACTAAAGTAAAAAATAAACAAAACTACTGTCACAGTAGCATATGGAATTACTTTATTTTCTCTTTAATAATTCTACATTACCGAACCGCCATCAATCATTCAAAAAACCACTTCCTTCCGTCAAGCTGACTTTGATTTCGACTTGAACTTTACACAGGACGTCCTCCGTTGCCAGTGGTGGACTATCTACTTCACACTAATAAAATCCTTCAACAACTGAATGTGATAATAGAACTAGTAAAGAAATTGTGAGAAGCCTCAAAACTTTATTTTTCGTCGACCTCTCGATAACAATATAAATTACTCCTTAGTGACGAGTAGGTACAATGATGAAGCTTATTAATCGTTAGCAACAATTAATGGTTAGCAACCAACCATTATACGTTAGCAACCATTAATCGTTAGCAACCACTTATACATAACAACCATTTTATTAAAGTAGTTAGAGCGCCTAGGTAAAAGTAACAAGAAGTTGGTGAAAATTTGGTCACTTATTCTCTGAGAGACGCACTTTCTAATGGTCAAAAGAAAAAAGTGTTCCTATGTGCCGTTTCTGAGATATTTGACAGTAAAAACAGGGTATTTTAACATGGGCTCTTATGGACAGACTCAGTTTTTCTGAGCTAGCGAAGGTTTTTGTATCAAGACTTAAATGAGATGGGTCTCATTAGAAGCGAAATTTTGTGACGAATCTAAATATGCACGGAAAAGTACATGTTCATGATGAAATAAGGAAGATATTTACCGCCGGAGCGGCGTCTGCTCTGACGCGGCGGCACGCTATGCAGCACGCGTTTAAATCTGATGACTTTTCCACTAGGTCTAGTAAATAACTGAGCTAGGACCATCTTTTCCTTCTTCTGCTGAGCACTTTTCTTCACAAAAGGCATGGTGTCTTTCAGAAAGAACATCAAAACCAGCGATATTTATAAAGGCCTGCACACGTCTTGTTGACACACTGATCGGATCGAGATCAAGATAGCGGCTGGGGATCTCTGGCGCCAACATCGAAAAACCAAATCCACTACACCGACTTCACGTAAAACGCCAAATTATTTAGTTTCCCGGCTTTTACATACGTCTCGCATACGTTTTGATGAAAAATAAATATATTCGTTTAGGATTTACCGCTTACACTGTGAATATTTAGTCGCGGTGTGTCGTCAACATTTAGTGTGCAAAGGTTTGAAACAGGGTCGAAAAGTAGGGAGACTAGTCAAGTTGACTACTGTATATACCTTTTTAAAAATCATGTAAGACGTTTGCATTGTGCTGAGGTACAAAATACCACTCATACCGTATTTCTAATTATGTTTCCTTCATAACATCATTTTTTTGGGGACGTTTACCGTAAGTAATAGGTACGCCGAGTACATCACTTGACTTCAGCCGAACGCGCTCTAACTACTTTAAAAGGGAAATGACAATTATATAACAATTCACTTTCGGCAACAGCTGAGAACTTCCATCCACCTAACCATTTTAATCTCGGTTTTAATGTAGTGAGATCAGCAGCCAGTATGGTCGCCAAACGATCTCAGCAAAGCATATCATGATGTATGTATGTGTAGCTCCTCGGATAATGTATTGTTAAGGTATTCAGTTGCTTTACCTTCAACATTGAGTACGTCGACCACAGGGATGAACATTTCCATATCTTTCACTGTTAATACACGTACTTTAGTACAGTTGCAAAAGAATTAATTACATTCTAATTTCACACACCTTTTCAAGGTAAAATGTCAACGTGACATTTTCGGAAATATCTCCTTTCAAATTCATTGTATTCCATCAATTGCCGAACTGATCGAAACCGTTCCAATAAGTTTCTTTTGATTTGAGTGGATATAATGTTAAAATCGCCTCCGCAGCAGAGCAAGCAACATAATCTTCCACTGCGATTACGAGGACTGACGGTACAGCATAAAACAACACATTACTATAGCAACGACAATAGCTGTAATTTAGTGAAAAATCGTCGGAGCTCATAATTTCGTTTGTAATTTTGTAGTTGAATTTAAAATTACCTACCCCAGTGAAGTCGACGAAAAAACGTTGTATGCAATTCATGTATAAATCGGCGATTATTGGTTCGTTCGAATTTAAACATCTCACTCACCATAACACTCATTGCATAAATAACTATTAAAATTAATGTTCCGATTATCTGGTTTTTACTGGTATCATGTGAAAAATCCAAATAGTTGAATCATAAAGTGCGATCTTACTCCGTGTGTAAATAACGTAACAAGTAACTGGCCTAATTTTTAGCTTCCTAGCATGTGCTAGGTAGCTATTGCGATAGCCGTTTTTTTGAACATTTCAAAATTTCATCAAATGTCGACGTTTTAGACCATTTTAAGCAACTTTTAAAGAATAAAATTTTTTTCCGTCTGTATGTACGTACGTAGTACGTACGTTTGTTGGCAATTTTCTGAGAAAACGGCTCGACGGATTTTGTTGAAATTTTGTATATATGTTTTAGGCATACCGAACAGAAAAATAACGGGCCGGATTTTTGAAAAAAAATTTTGGAGCGCCGTAACGGCATCGAACTTTTTTTTTCAAATAGCAACCTAAAATTTTTATTCTATTATTTGGAAGACCTTATTTTCCTGTGTACAACCTACAAAAAATTGGGCCGGGTTATATTATCAAAAAACGGAGAAAAAAATTGTCAAAGTCAAAAAATTGTGTTGCATATGTGCAAAACGCAACGATCTTGTTTCTGAAGCAATTTAAACGAAATTTCTATGGTAAGTCCCTTTAATAAAAGCAAACAAAATTCATGCGCAAAAATCGTGTTGCGCATGCGCAGAAATGCAACTTTCTTATTTATGGAACAATTTAACGAAATTTAGATGGTAGGTCCTTTTAATAAAAGCTAACAAAATGCATGCGCAAAAAATAGTGTTGCGCATGTGCAACATCCAACTTTCTTATTTAAGGAGCAATTTTAACGAAATTTGGATGGTAGGTCCCTCTAATAAAAGCAGTGCGTACATATGTTGGCAATTTTTGGTTTCAGCTAGGAAGCTATTCTGTCAAGAATTTGACACCTGGTTTGATAAAGCAGGCGCTGATCGGTTCCAATCACAGAAACATTCAACGCAGATGTTACCAACATAAATATCGAACAACTCACTAGAAAGAAAAGTTGTTCTTTCCACAGATACTATCAAAACTTCACTTTCAATTTTTAGTTTATCTCAGTGTTAACATGAAAATCTTATCTATGTAGTACATCCAGATGAAAAGCGACGTTTAGAAATGGAACTTAATAACGATCAAACGAAAATTGGCACTCCGCCCTTTTAGGCCGGGCGCTAAAGGGTTTGAGCATGCATTGAAAGTCTAACGCAGGTTGACTTTTGATTATTGTTGGGAGCATATAGTAGATGAAAAAAATCGATGTCGTCGCATTTCCGCGGTGGGCATCACTTGAGGAAGAGGGGGCAAAGTAGCGCGTGTGGCGATTCACTTTATCGTTTCTAACTCAAAGACGGTAATAGTTAGAGCAATGCTTGAAGCGGCTATTTACAGCTACTTATATTGCCTACAAAAAAGGTCCTAAGGATAAAAGTCGTACCTCTAACCGTTTTGTTACAAATAAATTATTTTAAAATATATCTAAATTCGATCGAAAATCATATTTGACGCACATTTCTTATATTAGATAAATTTAATAACGTATGTTATTACATAAATATATATGGTTTTATACAGTCAATTTTACAATTTTCCAGCACGTACTTGGGTCAGACTCTTTAGTTTGTAATGGGTTTCTGCATTTATCAACACATTTGCAATAAGAACAATAAGAAGAATTATTTGATAAACAGGTACATGTTTTTTGGAGCAGTTTTTGCATTTGCAGGGCTGAACTGCTTCGAGATTTGCATAACATCAAAGCTGACGAGCATTGCATGAGTACTATTTTTACCCTTTACGTTCATAAATTGTTCGGAATACGCCAGGTGTAGATACATCAAAAATTGATGAATCATCATTCATCACTCTGAAGATTACCAAAATTACTTCCCGATAGATATGCAGACATTTAATGTTGGAACTAATTCGAGCGGACATTACCAAAACTGATGCCATTATGTGAGAAGTAATTTCTGCGGAATAACGTTGGACTCTATTACTTAAACATATTTAGTGATCGGTCAATCTTTTGAAGATTTAAATTTAATTCTTACATTATGCCAATTAAAATATGATTACAATACTTATGTACTTTTATAATTACTCTTATAACATAAACGACACTGTTAAAATTGTCTTACAGATACAAGAAATATGAGACAAATATGATTTTCTGTGGAGTTGGATATATTCCGAAATAATTTATTTGTATCGAAACGGTTAGAAGTACGACTTTTATCCTTAGGACATTTTTAGTAACCAATATAAGTAGCTGTAAATATCCGCTTCAAGCATTGTTCTAACTATTATTACCGTCTTTGAGTTAGAAGCGATAAAGTGAATCGCCACGCGCGCGACTTTGCCCCCTCGCTCCCCCTCATGTTATGCCCCCCGCGGAAATGCGACGACATCGATATTTTTCATCTACTATATGCCCCCAACAATAATCAAAAGTCAAACTGCGTTAGACTTCCAGTGCATGCTTAATACTTATATTAGCGCCTGGACTATTTTGGGTGTTACATATCCACTGCTTTCACTCACCCAATTCAATTACTGGAAGCGTCTAACTCGTCACAGAATGTTGTCCAATTTAATCTATTCAACCAAATCATATGGACTCCTATTTTCAAGTTAAGTACTTTGTTTTCCTTTTCTATTCGGCTTGTCACCTATACCAGTTGGACTCTTTTGGGCCAGTATTAATAATAGCGAGTGGTTATGGTTAATTTAATATAGGAATAATCAACCATTGCCCAGATTCGTTCGATTTGAATAAGATTATTTGGTTGACAAAGTGATAGAGGCACAACCCGACACCCAGTACGGCACTTATCAACAAATGCAATCTCATCCCATAAGATTTATTTTTAATACCATTGCTTATAATTTATTTATTTTGCAGTTTACAAATATTTACAAGCGATGGAGGAATAAAGAAAATACGCGCCCGTACCATACTCTAGGAATGGTAGGAAAAATCGTGTTATATTCATGTCCTGGATTTGCCTTCCTCATCATCGTGCCTTCTATAGTCATTGTCCTGTACGAAGGTTGGAGCTTCGACAAAGCCGTGGAATTTGCATTTGGTACACTTACTACTATTGGAGTGGGACAGGTAGTACCTGGTACGTAATTTCTATAATACGAGGAATTTTTTTAAAATGTCTATTTTTGCTGTGGCTAGCACAAATACCACCAGCACACCTGCTTTCATTTAATATCTAAGAATATGTGGACCAAATAGTATCTAATACATTTAAGCCAGACATTTTACTGTGCGTACATGTATGTATAGATTCATGTTTCAGGTGTATTCAGATCCGACAACGACGTAGTCCACGTGCTGTACAACAGCTTTCTACTAATATGGATTATCATCGGGCTTGGATACGTGGCAATGGTCTTTGGCTTTATCACCAAAGGACTTCAAAGTGAAAAGATGTTTAACCTAGAACAAAAATTGACTAATAACATTAAGAAGACGAATAAAAAAATTCGAAAAGAGCTTCGCTATATTCTAGACGATCTCATTTCTACTCAATCGTCCATATCGCCTGTGTACAGGGAGAGGCGCGTAAATGTACTAGCCAAGCACAGTAGAACTCAAAGCTGTCCAGATTTGAGGCAATTTGTTGAGAGAAATGGGAAGAGACGAGCGACGTCAGTATTATACCCGCTTATTACAATAGAGGATGAAATGAGCGAAACTCACATTCAAAGAATTGAAAGAATTAAAACACTGGAAAGTAACATCAATATTCAACACAGCGAATTACTAGAAAAAGTTGTGAACGCTTTATCGGATTTTAAGGGGTCCGTTGAAACAGCTGACAGCATTGGCTCAAGTGGTACTGGTGTTAATGATTGTGAAGCCTTTCATAAAACAAAAGATCAAGCTCGACAAGAAGATGCAATGGGAAAGTGTGGCGAAACACATAATCGCAGAGTAACAGTTGGACATGAACCAGAATCGCTATTTTCCAAATTGAGAAGGAGAATACGTTCATCTTTTGTATCGGAAAAGCTTGACGTTGATTCCGAAGGTCAGTTAGACGATCAGACGTTAGTAGCGCATGCGTCAAAGCCGCCAGATAACTCGCTTTCCGATTTTCTGCGAGCGTTAAGCATAATCAATTTTAACGAGATATCAAAGCCAAACGGTGACGGTTGCAAAGCCAATAGCCGACGACGGTTGCCAATAGTACCGTTGCTACGGCGAACATCACTAATTTCAACAGTATCGTCAAGACTCACTGATAGACGACGATCCTCTGAAGACGGAAAAGCGCATTTTATAAGAAATTTTCCTCGGTACAGCGCTTTTGCTAGACCAGTAATTCCAAATGGTGGCGTTAACACTAGTTTTTCGAATACGGACCAAAGAAATTTTCCAGAAATTCCTACAATATCTAAATCTTGTACTAAAGGCGATCTGAACACTTTTACTCATGTTTAAGTCGACATTAGAATAAATGGTGGGTAGACATTTCTATGTAATCAGTAAACGCCCTGTGAGGTAGAGTTAACACGGATATACCATGAAAAACCGGCCATTAGTTTGAACGAACTATAACGTCTTGTAGAGTGATGGAGGAACAAAAAATAAATCTCGAATATTTTTGCAAGTACTGATTTTCCAACTCCTAGTTAAGCAACAATTGTATTTAATTGTAGTTACAGAAAAATTAAACCAATAAACATATCTATTTATTTAACAGGGATGTCTATAAATGCGCAGAGGTGGAATACTTTAAAAGTGTGATGATGTGATGTAGACTTATTCCAGAACTTGATGGATGTAAGTTTAGCAACAAGGGACTATTCAAACAGTTTACATTATTAGCAAAATACACCTAATTGTGTAAATGCGTTCAGAGAGTGATGCCAATTTTCAAGTTTGGAGTCCGACTTGCATGTGTATGGAAACTCCAATGAGTTGATTCTTTCGATTGGAATAATTAATCGTCTTCAAACTGTTCACGGGTTGTAGTTTAATCCAGAATCTTATCGCTCCGTATCAACAAAAGAAGCGCACAGTTTTAGTTAGTAAACTTGTTTTTTATCGTAACGAACTACACCATCTATAAATGCAACGAAACGTTCTGTACTTTTGACCAACAACGCTTTCATGGTAAAAATTCATCGCGATCATCACGCTGATTAAATAATGCGGGACAATAAAAATGTTCGTTCGTGTAAATACTCGTGATGGCAACTCGCAATGAATTTACAAGCACACCCGACAATAATTTCGTCAAATTGGCGGCACAGTTTTCCCTTGTAACTTCAACTTTCGCAATAAAAATATCACGTACCATTTTACGCGCCTGTTAAATCTTTCGTACCTTTCCAAGCCTAGCAGAATAATTGTATGTTCGCCGATTTGCGAAAAATCTGCAGTTCTCGAACTATGAGCAACTACTTATTAGAAAAGCAGTCGAAGGGTTAAAGCACCCGTGGATTTAGGACGTACTTTAGTCCTGTGATATATATACTTTTTTTTGTAATTCGGTAATAAATTACAGTAATTTCAATATTAAATTGTAAATTTGAAAAAAAGATATTTCGGTTGACTGTAGAAACAAGATTTCCTGTAATGTTACGATTGTTACTGTATATTAATGGAATTCACTTTTGTGCAAAACGAAACGACTGCGCAGAAATTATGATTAAAAAACCGCAGAAGTCTAGGCAGAAGTAGTTATAAGGTAGTGATTGCCTCCTGTATTCAAAAATTTTTCAATACTTACGCTATAATAACTACAAAACAGGGTGCAAAAACCATAATCTGCATTTGGCAAAACACTTTCATTACGTAATATTACTGCACCATTTCTGTCAAAATAGTTTTTTACTGCCATTTGTTGAAGCAGTGCGAAAGAAACTTTTGTCCCAATTCATTCGCTCTTTTAAATGTACATCCCATACGTGGGTACAATCCCATACGTGGGTACAATTTTATTAAGAACCTTTGAACGCATTTTCACAAGAGGGGGTCAATTAAAGAAATTATTGGCCTGTGGCACGAGCATGAGATACCAAGGGTCGTTCATTGCTATCTTTAAAATGACTTTGAACATTTTTTGAAACCGCTTTATGTTTCTGATATACATATACCCACTCTACAATGAATAAGGACTCATTGTCAAACAACTCATGGTAATAATGTGAAAAAACCTTTAAAATGTAATTTTTGGGTTTATACATATCAATAGTTTGTTCCAAATTTGGAAAAATATTATTAACTCAAAAATGTCCACGTTCGAACAAATTAAAACTGGTTTTAATTAATTACGCATTTCCTCGACATTGGAAAAGTATAGGACCCGTGTCCGACTTCAAGTTTTTTAAGAGCACACCTAACGGATGTAATCTCAACTTAATCGGCCGTTTTTGTCTGTAACCCATTCAAGTAATTATGGTTAATTATACTTATCTGAATAGTTGGAATGAAATGTCCAAGTTCGCCAGTCCAACAATGCCCTTTAGTTCCTTAGAATGTAAGGTCAAGCGACGCAATCGATTATCACGTTGATATTTTTCTTATAGTCCAGGCTAAATAGCTCTAAAATAATTTATTTTCAAAAAAAGTTAGTTACCGGGCGAAACCGGGTTTTTCAGGCAGGTGAAATGAATAGAAATTGGGAAAAAAATAATTAAAACAGCTGAATTTTTCCGCGGGTGAAATCACGGGGATTGAAAGGGGTGGAAAGTGGTATTTTGCAAATTGTGGCAAAACTATTAATTTTAGACGAAAATGTTAAATATAAAAGTTATAGAGATTAAACAAATGGGCAACTTTTGTATCTACACTATTTTCACATAACCTCCAATTTTCCTAGAAAAACCGGAAAAACTGTTTTTTGGTATTTTTATTCCTATTTTTGCGAAAAAAAAGTAGTATGGGTTTGAAATTTGGAGGTAACATAGCCTGTTTTATGATAAAAAAGAAGATAATTTTTTGGTCCCGTAAAGTCGAACCGTTTCCAAGATCTCACGATTTCTGAAAAAATCCACCTCTTTTTCAAGGGGATGAAAAATCTATTTTTTTCATCGTACAGAGGTGCGCGGGGTAGCAAAATTTTCATAAGAACTTACATTTTAATAATCAAAAATAAAAAATATTATTCGTATATAAAAATTTTAAGAAAAGCGGCAAAAACTGTGGGAACAATTTTAAGATATACATGGTTTTTGACATATTTTCCAACTAAATTAACGTATTCGATCCGCGCTAATAAAAAGTTTTTGAAATCTGTCTTCTCTCTCCTCTTTAATGTTGCTAAAATATTTTCTTTTGTTTCCTAGTGCCCAACTGTTTTAGTTAAAACATCTTTATTATTTCTTTTTTCTGCATTTTTACGGCAATAAAAGCAATTCGAAGTAAAATCGAATTCTTTTGCTTCCTGAACAATTTGTTTTTGTTCACTAACTTTTCTTCCTGCCTGTTTTACAGCTGATGGATTTAAGCTGGGCCTGTTGATCGTTAATTTACAGGAATTATGAATAAAATCCTCATAAAGTTTATTCCAGGTTTTACATCTCAAATCATTTGCTTTGGCCAATGGCCGGTAGAACTAATGTTCTTATTGCAGATTTTGCAAGTTTTCAACAGGACCAACGCAATTGCATCAGGTATAGAACAAGCAAACATTAAAGAAGCAAGAAGACAGATTTCGAAAAAAATCTTCATTAACATCCAACATGTTGATTTATCATGTCAAAAACCGTGTGTATCTTAAAATTGTATTTCCAGTTTTTGGCGATTTTCTCGAATTTTGGCTGTAGGAATGATATTTTTTTAATTTTGTTTATTAAAATATAAGTCTTCCCGAAAATTTTGTTACCCCGCGCACTTCTGTACGATGAAAAAAAAATAGATTTTTCATCCCCTTGAAAAAGAGGTGGTTTTTTTCAGAAATCGTGAGATCTTGGTAACGGTTCGACTTTAAGGACCCAAAAAATTATCTTCTCTTTTATCATAAAACAGACTATGTTTTTTCCATATTTCAAACCGCTACGACTTTTTTTCGCAAAAATAAGAATAAAAAACGAAAAAAACAGTTTTTCCGGTTTTTCTAGGAAAATTGGAGGTTATGTGAAAAAGTGTAGATAGCTCATTTTTAATCTCTATAACTTTTACATTGAACATTTTCGTCTAAAATTGATAGTTTTGCCACAATTTGCAAAACACCACTTTCAACCCACGTGATTTCACCCGCGGAAAAATTCAACTGTTTTAATTATTTTTTCCCAATTTCTATTCATTTCACCTGCCTGAAAAACCCGGTTTCGCCCGGTAACTAATTTTTTTTGTCAAAAAATAATATATAGCCTGGACTATTAAACTGCACGACCTCCGGTTTCAATCCTGCATTTTCGCCAGACATTAGGACACACACAATACAACGCTGTCATTAGGACGCAAGACAATAGACCGCAAAAAAGGAAATATGCCCAGACATTAGGACGCGAACACTAGGACGCAGATATTTAGATGAGGGCATTAGGATGAGGACATTAGGATGCAAACATTGGGACGTGGGCATTGGGACGTGGACATTGAGACGCAGACATTGCCACGCGGGCATTGGGACGGGGACATTAGAATGCCGAAATTAGAACGCGGACATTCGAATCTAGACTTTGGGACGCGGACTACTATATCAAAAGTGATGTCTGCTTTATCTTTGGAAATCAGTTTTGTTGCCCATACTGTAAAAATTCTGGTCATTTTGAATTCTAAAGGCCAAAATGTATAACAAAAAATATTCTCCCGGTTGATCCCATTTTGGTTAAATGTGCGAAGCCTATAAATTCTGTCGAAAAATATTTTGAACTCTTACCTTTCTTTTCCATTTTTCAGTTACATCAAATGGACTTAATTTCAAATTTCAATTAAATACGATATGGTTTTATTTCAGTTATACATAGGTATACCTACTCTACCTACAGTCATGAGTATTGTTTGTAAATGACATAGAAAGCAAATTATTCAGTACGATTGCTAAAATTAAAACGAAAACGACCTAAAATTACTCAACTTTTTCCATACAAATTTACAAAATACGCCTACCAACTACGGTTACAACTAAATCACAGACGAATATTATTCAACATGTTTGGCACATATAAATGAGTACGGCGTGCAATAATACCAAAATGACTATACATTACTCGAATTTTTACCATCTGTATCACGTATATCCTTCGTAATAGGATACTTCAGTTTAAGTACGCTTCTTTGCAACGAAGTCGCACTGGATGCTGCGTTTCCCGGTCGAAGCGAAGAAGATCTCCTACTTCTGGTGATGGCACGTTTCGCAACAAGGTTCGAAAAGTCCGGGGGGTAGTACGGCGGTGGAGGTTCGCTTTCAGTCGTCTCGGGCCGTAGAGAAAATCGCCTCTGTTGACTCGGATGATGTGCAGATATGGGCATTAACGACGTCCTTCTTGCGTGACTTTGAATCGGCTGGCGCCGTGGACGATTCGGGCTTGATGGCGTTAATGGAGCAGTTTCCGAGGCAGCTTCGGGAACAGTGATAGCGGTTAGAGCTCTGAGGAAATCGGCAATAGAGGTTTCCTCCAGAACCTGTTCGTGCTGTACGGAAAATATGGACGCTCGCCTGCTCGCAGGTGCGTAACACGGTTCTTCGAAAGCACTCTCTTTCTCTTTTTGCTTGGTTTGGCTTTCTATGTCGTCATTCTTATCGCTCTCTTTTGCGGGTTTTAGCGAATTCTTTAATCGACTGAATAGGCTTTGTGGTTTCGCGGATGGAGTAAAAGGTGGTAGAGATTTGTGTCGAATTTGGTTATATTTAACTTGTTCTCGAAGTTCTTGCAAACGTTGCGTTGCGGATGGTCCGTACCAGGTTAGATCGTTCTGGTCAGTCGAAGGCCTTTTGAAAACTGGCGTTTTACACTCACTAGCAGCTCTGGGTCGCATAACCTTTTCCGGCATGGTACTGATCCTTTCGTTTCCAATAGACCAATTTGAAACATACTTTTCGGTGGCCAGAATTTCTTTTGACGGAAATAGATTGATACCTTCAACGTAAGAATGATCATCGATGGACTTACGATCGTCAGTCTCTGTATCCATATTCCCTAAGGCGTTAGCCACTCGTAAAAGTAATTGGCCTGGTTCCAAAACAGCATTTGAGGGATTAAACGTTTGTTCTTTGTCAATGCGTTCCAGATCAGAATCGGACTGAATTCTACTTATTTCGCCATCATATTCCGCGCACGTGGAAAATGCTCGCTTCCTAGAGATCGTAGGGGATTCTGGAGCCGAGTGAATTGTTAAATTTGGACAACTTTGGCTACGTTGCGGTTTGTTCGGAACGTATATAAACTTCTCTCTGTAGACCCGCTTCACTCGCAATAACAAATACTCGTTAACAATCGATCTGAGTTCGTCTCGTATTTTATGATTGGTTCTTTTAATATTTATCGCTAGCTTGTGTTCAATTGCGCACATCTTTTTACTTCGCATACCGCGCGCCACGAATCCCATTACCATACACAGATAGCCAAGGCCCGAGATTATCCAAACCAGCAGGAAAATTTTGTAGATCATGTACCAAGTTTCGCCGTGATCGTTTTCGGCAGTTCCTAAAAAAACAAACGCTTATTTGGTTTCGCAATTACAGTTTTAAACTTTGAATCAGTGGTTTTAGACAATGGGTTCGCTAAAAAATTTTCTAATTGATGTAGTTTGAAAAAGTTAACAATTGTTCGTTTCTTTTTCATGTGGGCCTCTAATTATTGGTGACATTGAAAGATCACAATGTATTATAAATTGTATTGCTTATCGCACCAATTTTTAACGCATTTATTATTATTGCTTCACTTTTATAAAGCACGCTTGAATATAGACATTTTAGTTTCGCAGCCTAACCCTAACCCCTAATCTTCCACTTAGTAAACATCTACTTTGCGGCGCAGTGCTGCAAAAGGGTAGTCCTACCACAAAAGGCACTGTCAATTAAACATTTTTGTTAGAAGCAAGCTGTCATACTTTTTTTCCATTTCAATATTCCTTTTCTTTCAGATAGAATCTTTTCCATCAATGTAAAAAAGTGGTTTGCTTTTATTACCCAACCCTACGGAAAATACCCCCTTCCCCTATGATGGAACATGGAATTACTGGGCAAATAATTCTATTCATGATCGCCGATTCGGAAAGTATGGACGATGAAACAGCTACTGATCTAGTATAGAAGATGTCTAGAAGAACTTGACAAGAGTAATTTCCAATGAACACAAGAAAAATCAATTTTAGGGATATTTCGAAGGATTTGAAAACCTAAGAAGAACTTGAGAAGATGGATATTGGTGGCACTTTAAAGACGCCTTACAAGAAATCGAGTTTGAATAATTTAAGAGGTAGCTTGAGGAAAACTTGACATTAATCCGAAGGCAACATAGTTCCAAAACATTTGAAAATAACTTGAGAAGAATTTAATGGAAGCTACATAAAGGTTTTAGACACTTATGAAGAAATTGGAGAAGCTTGAGGGGAACTAGAGAGCAAATTTTATTGGAACTTGGAGGTAAATTGGAAGAACTTTGAAGAAATTGAGAAGTGACCGTAAATAGTGAGAGGAGCGTGAAGAAAAATTTAATAGCAGTTTCCAGAAAGTTTAAGAGAAACTTCAGGCATAAAAAAAATTAAGGTAGACTTGAAGATAACATGAACGGAATTTGAGAATTTGAAAAAGCTTCAGGAAAACTTGGCAAAAGTGAAGGAGAGTATCCTCTATACCTGAACTTGATTTCGTTTGGTTCCTGGTTTGGTTGCATTGCTTTTTGTGTTATGGAACAACTAATGAGCATAGATATGGAAGTGAGTTTCGTTTTATCAGTAATCAAAGCACCTACAAATGTACGAGTCAGTAAGAAAAATCAACATCATTGGCGCAAACAACGTGGAGGTAACCTGGAAATTCTTTGACAGTTTAATATTTAATTAATGGTCTAATCTAATTCAAAGATTCCATCCATCAAATATACCATCATCTTTGTGACCTGTTAAGATTTGTATCTTGGGATTAAAATTTTTAGTAAGAGATGTCAATAATTTTATGAAAACATACAAAATCAAAAAGAAATGCGCATGAGCAATTCTGCCATTTTATCTGTAAGAATATGTGTACCAAATTTGGTTTAAATCGGTTCAGCCGTTTAGCCGGAAATAAGAGTACAGACCGCCAAACCGATCGACATCATCGAGATTTTGTATGATTCGGATTCCTGGTGCTTCGAAACGTGTATTTCCGTCAAAAAAGTGGGATGCCATTGTTACTTCAATGCAATACCTCGCTTACAAACGTGCGGATGATAAAAAACGGTTGCTTTCCACACGGATCACTTTACTTAGGTCCTTAGTGCACGTATAAGCACGGATTAAAAACAATTCGAGATTTTCTAAGACAGTAAAATCATGAACTACTAAGTTAACTTTTAGATTCAGTCTTCAAGTCTCAAAGGGCGGTATTAATAGATTCGATCATTATGTAATATCAATTATAAAAATAACTAGTAAACTTTTGTTAATCGGTTTGGAATTGTTGTACACATTGTTATATAAATAAATATAATTAAATTTGTTCAATATTTACTGAAAGATCTAACGTTACAACAAGGTCAAATTTTATTAGATGAGAACACCCTATTAGCAGCAGTCAGGGGAGACCCTACTACCTACGCGTTTGATGCCAAACCCAAATATATGGCGTAAGGTGTTTAACAAAGTTCTCGTGTGAGATCGAAGGGACTTCAGCGCATTTTTGTGTTACTCCATCATTAATAAGATTTTGTCGGGGGCTACCGTTCCCTTTGTCGGTACCCACTTCCGACGTCCCGTTTACCCGCAATTCGCGTTTGAAGTTTTGACTCCTACATCAGTAAGATCTTATCGGGGGCTACTACATTAGCTCTGTCGGGACCCATTTCTGTCGTTCCGTTCACCCTCAATTCGCATTTTGGTGGATTCTCTAAAAACCTTCCACAAAGTATTATTGAATTTTAGGGCACTTTTTATATAGCTCAAGACACCAGAAAAATGGACCGCGATTTGAGCTTTAAAAAACTGTTTGGCGACCGAAGTGCGCCTCGTAAAAGGTAGTAAATTCCGCCCCTAGGGAAAAACAGAATTCTGCAGGAGTTGTGCGTGTTTACAAGATCTTTCCAACGACACCAATTTGAAAACAATCGGACTAAAACTGTGGAGAAAGATAGGAAACAAATTTAAAAATCACCACGTTAGTAAACCCACGCTTAGGGATGGCGCTCACATGTCGCCGACCCCACATCATGTAGCCCCATCCCTAAAGTTGTTAATTACCCGGTAGGTAAATTTACCCTCCTCGAATATCTACAAGCGTCTTCTACGGGCCCGCATTTGCTGCCAACTAGCCAGCCAGCCGGCCAAAGTGAGACAAAAACTACCAGAATTGTCATCGCCAACCATTTGGATCTGAAGAACCACCATTCTCGCTTCTACCGATGCACAGAATTGGTGGACTAGGAGATTGTAAGAGGAAGAAGTTAAAAGAGTCTGAGAACATTCTAAGAAGGTTCTAAAAAATCATAGTGTTTCAAGATCCAAGATCCTATGGGGATTCTACGAAATCTCTAGGGATACTCTAAGGATACTTTCCAAGGCTAAAGCTCGAAGGCTTTTTGAGTGGAATTAAAATCCTTTCTCCGCACATGAAGATGAACCCCAGTAGGTACTTTATCTTTATTGCAGTTTGAAGTATGTTTGGTTGCATAACCACGTTAAAACACCACTTATGTAATGCAACATCAGAACCAAAGCAGACAAAGACAGAGAATGAGAATGATAATAGTACCTGATGGTTCCCAATTGCACAAAGAAAACAAATCACCTTTCCATTTATAAGTGGCCAGCCCTTGTAAATAAACAGATCTCTTAGAAAGTTCTATCAAATCTCGTGGTAATTATGCAAATATAATCAATTTAATAGCGTTTACTTAATTATTTAGTTTATAGTTATTTATTTATTTACTAGTTGTTGGTCAATATACAACGGTGAGATTATCGATTCTGAATGACAGCACGAAAATCGTATCAATGACTAATTTTTTTTAATTTTCTTCTCATAAAGGGGACAAATCAAAATTTGAATTTAGACTAGTATAATTGTCTATTTATGAAGTTGCTCGACTCCTGAAGTATTTTTCCCCGTTTAAAATGTTTGCCCGCAAAACTTTGGAATTCTTGAAAAGCCTAAAGATTTTAAAATGTTGGAGCGTTCAAATTCGAGAATTCCAAAATCTTTGTGAACCATGGAAACTTGTACGTACAATAGTGCCTACTAAAGATTTCCAATTTTAAAAATAATCAACGCTTACAATCAGTAAATTAAGATTTACGAGCAAGTACTTGCAAAATTCAGGAAAATGGAATTGTTAAAATTGTGAGGTTTTTGAAATTTAAAACATGAAATTGTGAGCTTGTATAGCCTTAGGTAACTGGTATATCGATTTCATAAATCGCTCATAATCATAATTCTACATTTTTATGAAACATGAAGACTAAAAAATGCTGACACGTGACCCACCCCGTCATCTACGAAACATCTCGAAGTTCTTAATTTTATACGCTTGGAAGTTTTAACATTTTTGGGAAATTAGATCTTTATTTTTGTTTCGTTTTGACCTCACTAACAATTTTTAAAAGACCACCAAGACTGTCAAGTTATGAATTTGCTCCACTTTTGGAGAGCACGTGTGCTTTGGCTGAAAGACGTCAAAATCAATACTATGCGATCAAAAATGAGTTGCTGTCGAATCGCTTTTGAAATTTTTGTTTACATGGAAAACTTGAACTTCCAAAGGCTACTCGACAGCAACTCATTTTTGATCGCCCGTTATTTATGGACCATTGTACTAGGAAAAGGGCTAAAAATAATTGTAAATCACCAAATGTGATGAGGTTATTGTTTAAGATATGTTATATAAAGGGGGATAAAAAAGCAATTAGCATACAATACAGTACAATTTCATACGCGACTACTACAATTTCTTTAATTTGTCACATAAGATTAATTAATTAGTTAATTTGTTTTGAAATTTGGTCAATGCTCACATACTTTCCTAACAGTTTTCTTTGTGTTTTCAGAGAAATATTTACTGGTGTTAAAACTTTTCAACACATTATCTTTTTTTATTTTTGGAATGTGTCCGATTGATGGAGCAATTTTTTGGTAGGCACTGATACAATCTCTTTCTAACCTACCAATCCAAACAATTCTTTGATCAAAGGTACGAACCTATTCAAAGGTTGCCTAGAGTATAATTCTGTTCTTTGACCTTTGTCTGTACAGCAATAGACCTTATCTGGACCATTGCCTAATGCCCATTCGAGTAGTGATGTGAAAGATTTCCAAATTTCGAAGGTTTCATCGTAGTCAACAATATCCCTTTCAATTAGAATTAGGATACATTCGCCGCTGGGTATTGTTAATGAACACGCGCAGTATGAAGGTGATTGCTAATTCTAGCAAAGGTTAAAATCATAGACTGTCTACTGATTTATTCAGATCATGCCCGTGGTAATGAATTAAAAATACAGGAGCGTGCTTCTATTTTAATAATTAGAATACCGTGGTAATTTTGTGGTTTTTAAGTAATTGATGCGATCAGTGTAACTTAATCTTTTTGACATTGCAGGCAATGAAAAATGTAACATTGCAATGCGATAATAAAAGCTAATTGGATTATCTACAAATTTTTAAGGATAAGTTGCTGTATGGCATAAAACTTAGTATCAGCTAGCTAATTAGTTTGCAACCTCTAGTTTCTTTATGGGGTTTAATGAGTAACGCGAGATACTCACCAGCAACCCAGTCACCAAATCCGATTGTAGTAAGGGTAACGAACGCGTAATGAACGGCGACATCGTAGGGCCAACCTTCGTAGACCATAATCAGAATGGACGGGATGAATATGAAGAAGGTAAATCCTGGAATTAAATATAGCACCACTTGTCCTACCAACCCGAAGGTCGCCAATGCGTGCTGCACGCGTTTTGTTTTCCATCGATCGTATAATTTTAAAAACTGAAATTTCTGTGTCAATTTTGTTCAAAACAAGACTGTGGTACTTACCGATTTGCCAAAGTAGTCTCCCAAGTTGATAATCAGCATACCATTCATTGGTATACCAACGATGGCGTAAAATATCATGAATATCCTTGTTAGTGTGGTTGTTGGAGCTAGGTTCCCGTAACCTAAAATGATTAAACAATAAGAACCACCCTACCTAAGGCCAGTTAAAACGCACCTATGGTACTAACAACCGTAATTACAAAAAATAAAGAATGGTAATAATCCCATCTAATCGGCGGGTCCACGTCACTTTTGTTCGCACTTAGGGGTTTTCCACAGTAGATTACAAGTTTCTCGAATATTTCTTCTTGGGGATGGCCTTTGGAAGGTACGTAATTTCGTACGAGAAGATCTGAGAAAGGAAAAATTGAATTTTTCTGGTTTACCTGGTAAGTGCCACATTACCTTCAATCGCATTCCGCTCTTTTCGGTTTTCTCTCTGTTCCCTGTATTCCTTGTCGCTTTCCACTTCATGAAAAACGGATGCTCCCAGTAATAAGTAGGCAACGTAGACGCATAGCAGCACAAACCACTGCTTTTTGGACATCATCTTTCTTGTTCCGAACTAAAACGTACTAAATTCAATATCGTTCCGGCTCCAGTAAGCCTAATTTTGGAAATTACAGCGAGCAATTACCTCTCAGTGCAAACGCGTTTAATAAACAAATTAGTACAGTTTATGAACTTAATTGGTATTTTCCTTATTCAAGAACGTGTGGTAGTCTCTTCCGTGAACTGGATAAATGATGCACATTTACTATTGGCACTCGTTTTACTTTGGCGTACAATCAATTATTTTCCTTGATGTAATTAAGATCCGGACGTTTACACCCAGTATTACACACAATCAAATATTTTGTTCCGGAAGGTCTTTTTGTAGGAGAATTAGCATTAACAATGATACATAAGTAACAATAGCAGATTGCTTATTTGAAAATTTAAAGGCGCGGTATAATATTATGAAAACAAGAGGGATTGTTCGTTTATGGTACATTATTTCGATGCATTTAGTATTAATTTCGCAAAAAAAGATCGCGCAACCGACACTGGACACAATTTTTTACGAACACTACGAGCTTATTATCTGTACTGACTTTGAAATAGTAATTATCAACTTGCGATATTTACTTTATAATCGGCGGTGATACTAACTTGCTTACATTATATATACTAATATCCCCTTCAATTTACATGTTAGCATTCTCTTAGCTCCATCTCTCTTGGTTGTGACGCTCGCATATGCACAGACGAAGGTAGATATACCCCCGTAGCATACCACCCATACAAAAAATACTTGTATGGTATATTTCTATTAGTATCAATTATACTTATCACTTGAAGTAGGTAATTTTTCCCAATGAAACCTCGTTCACTATAAGGAACAGATCAAAAGCTTTCCGATTTCGCCGAATCTTGTTCTGTTCCTATGCGACAAAAATTAAATTTTGGCGAGGCAAATTTCGAAACACTGTAGGAGAAGATCAAAGGATTATTTTATTTGAGTTTGAAGCGCGATTATCAGAAAAATTGATTGCACGACACGAGTCTACGGCGATTGTTCGGGAAAAGTGTTAAATCGCCTGATAAGGGATGTTTTGATCAATAGCCTTAAAAGTTTTTTCGTGTAGTCTATCGTTACCCTCTTGAAATCTCATTGCGACAGTTGCTAGATAATTAATTGTGTGGTTTATATGTTTTGGAGCAGAGTGCATTGACTGTGGATTTGTAGGGAATGCTGACATAAACACATGGTCCCTATTACAAAACCAGTTTTGTAGTTATAACAGGAAAAACTGGATGATTATTGATTTTTCTCTGCATTGAATCACCTCATGTACTTGTTCCTAATAAACGCAAGTCAGCAGTCTAGAATATCTTGGACAGTACGAAAGATCGCGAAAAATAAAAAGGTGGTGCGTATGTCGCTCCGAAAATTTCTCCAAACTGATATCATTTACGTTGCCATGAAAACTAACATAGGTACGCAATTTTAAATTGATATCTGTAATCAATGATTTTTGGCTGATTTTTATGGTTTGTCTCAGTGACGCATTTTACTTGCGAAAATTTTAGTGTTGTGATTTTTTATTTCAAGCGTAGTCTGACTCGAAAGAAGCGATGCAACCCCTAGTCTGACAAGTGTTTATAATTGGTTTAACGAATTCAAGTTTGAGCAAGTTTCTTTAAGTGATGAATCACTTGAGGGACGTCCAATAGCTGTCGTTACTGAAGACAATATTGCTTCTTTGAAGCAAATGGTTGAAGGAGATAATCGTGTGACATACCGGGTACATTGGGGATTGACATTTACACCAAAGTTTGTCGGGGTTCCCCGTAACTTGGAGTAGCAAAAATAACGGCGCGTTGTCATGGTTTGTAGAAATTTTCGGAGCGACCTACGAATGTTAGTAGGATTCATTAAACTTTGAAGCAAATGCTGAGAGCGAAGGAATTCGATTATCCATAGGTATTGGAAAATTTCCACATGCAATATTAGGTTAAGGTTGTAGCGTTTAAAAAATCATTCATATAGCCGATTAGATTACTTTGATTAAAATAAATATTTACAGAAGCATTCGGGCTTGTACACTTTCTAGTATCTACACCTTCACGTAATAGGAGTACTACTACTAAGTACTTACTATAAAGCAAACCTGTAGATACTCTAGCCCATTGTGTGTGATAGTATTCTGATGCACATATTGCAAATGGGACCCAAGGACGTTAGGGCGCCAACCGATTGAGAGGCAATTCAAAAAATGAATACATCCCTAGGTATTTTGAGAAAGAAACTTTTGAGCTCCAAGTGTTGTCATGCTCTCCTCGAGGCTCTCCTATCAAGTGTTTTGCCCAGGTCAACTAGAAAACACGTCTAGTGAAGCTTCATCAATATCAAGGGCGTTATCGTCCTAGTCGTTAAAATACAGTCGGCGACTTCGATATAGTGACACATCATCGCAACTTAGTCGAGTCGCGCGAACCTTGCCCATTGTACTATATAATCATACCGGTGAATGTACAACGACAGCCCGTTGGAATGCAGGTTCTACACGTCTTTGAGTTCAAGTAGTGAATTTCGACTTAGTGCACAAGTCTGGTCCGCCTTATTTGAAAACCGTAAAAATAGAGCTTAGAAAGGGGTATTTCGATTGAAAATGCATAAACTGTTAGAATCGTCCAATTATTGTGAAATTGATTGATAACTATTAATCTTTTTGTGAACTTTCCGCTCAGTACTACGATTAGAGTTAAGGTGGACTTCACATTGACTGAGTAAACTAAACTTGCGGGGCGACAAAAACACAGGGCCCGCAAATTTTTCACAATTAATATGTCCCATAAAATCTCTTTGCTTCAAAGCGAATTGGGTCTATTCATCAACACTTATAAAATTGAATGCAATATGTCCATTTAGAAAAGTCATTGCGGGAAATTTTGAATATTTACAGTTTTAGACCTCATGAGTCATGATGGACTATGGAGTAAGTCAAATTACCACCGATTATTATAAATTAACCTCCACACCTGCACAATATTAAATAATCCTTTTTACTGCGTCCAAAAAGTTTGCAAAATAAAAGAATTCAGATCTAACGATTATTGAGCCCCGTGCAACATCCGGTTCCGGTTAATGTCCGTGCGAGAAATGTTGTACCATCCTACGTTCAGCTTAGTAAAAACGTCTAGGAAATTAATGGGAGAACATTTTCAGAATCTTTTTAAAACCTCATTTTAAAATTGTCCCAGAATATTCTTGAAGCATTCTTATTCTTATCATATTCTCAGAATGTTCTTAATATCTTCTCAAAATCTTAGCGGAATCTTGTTGTAATGTCCACCAATAGAATCTGATCAACATATTCTTAGAATCTTTTAGGTCCATCTTAGAATCTTGTTGCTTTTGGAACCCTCTGTTAGAATATTTATGAAAATTTGTAGAACTGATTATAGATCCATTAGAATCCTTCTAAGAATATTCCTCGAATTTTCTAAAGTTTTCCTATAATCCTTAGGACTTAGAAATCTTTTTAGAATATTTACCGTTTTCTTAAAAGCTTTTTGGAACCTCTTTTAGAACATTTTTTTTTCAATCTGTATTGAATCGTTAGAACTTCTCAGAGCACTTTTGTTTAGAGTTCTTAGAATTTTGTAACGTGTTCATAGGATCTTGTTACGACCTTATGATCATCTTGGAATCTTCCTCAAAAGCTTTAACGGCTAAACCAAATTTGGTACAGTTGTTCTTACACTGAAAAGATTTTGGGCAGGATAGCACATGCGCAGACTGTACGGGTGGTATCTATGCTAGCCACAGCAATTTTTTAAATCATCCTAGGATCACCTTAATTTGAATTCGTTACTTTCATATTATGTTTATTTTCAAAAGATTTCTTTCTTTCCCACCCGGATAAGGGTATGCCAGGCAGAGTTGGACTGGGTCACCTGGGTCACTGGGTCAACTGGGTCACTTGGGTCACTAAATTAAACTGGGTCGCTGGGTCACGTCATACTCTTTTCAGTTAGACCCAGTGACCCAGTTTGACCCAGTGACCCAACTTGACCCAGTTTGACCCAGTGACCCAGTTTGACCCAGCGACCCAATTTCACCCGGGGACCCAATTCGACCCAGTCACCTAGTTTGATCGAATAACGCAGTTAAGCCAGTGCCCTCGGTTCAAGTGTACAGATTATGAAATAAATGAAATGCTAGTTTGTTGAAAATAATACTCGATTGCTTGACAACTGCCATTTCTGTGATGTTTGCTTTAATACTGCCGTAAAAAACTTTCCATGTCCCGAATTGTATTAGAATAATGTTATTTCTTTGCCTCAGGGCTTACCAGTTTGCTTACAGGTGTTCATTCACATTTAATTTTTTTCTACTAGTTAGCTTAAGCCAAATAAATCTTTTCTCTAAATACTTTGATTGACTACTTGACTACAAACTATAAACAAATGCATTTGATTTTTTTAGGTATTAGTTCTCTTGAATGAAATTGGGCTACGTGCTTGTTGCCGAATATTATTGAGGAAGTTATTTTTTTAATTAAAAGTTACTTGAAATTGTTTTAGATAATACCTAACAATAATTTAATTACTGGGCCACCGGGTCAGGACGGGTCACTGAGTAAAGCTGGGTCAAGATGGGTCACTGGGTCAAGCTGGGTCACCGGGTCAAGCTGGGTCACCGGGTCAACTGGGTCACTGGGTCAGTAAACTAACTGGGTCACCGGGTCACTGGGTCACTCTATGCTTGACCCAGTCCAACTCTGATGCCAGGATAGCAGAGCATGACCTTACCATTGCGAACAAGGAGAGTCACCAACTTTCGTAGGGGGTGCAAGGAATCATAATCGACCCGACCTATAACAATAACGTCACGAGTGGTAGAGTGGACAGTGTACTTGGCAGACGAAACGCTAAGTGACCATCGCTACGTACAGTGGAAAGTAACCATGAACCTTGCCATGAACAGTAAAAGAGAAATTGCACGAAGGATGCGAAAACGGAGTGGAATGGCAATAAGATAAACCTAGAAGAGCTAAGCAAATTGGACAATTGAAATATATGAGTTACGGGGTTATCGCAAAGCAAAGGCAAAAGCATCAGTATAGTTGATCAAAAAATTTTTTCAAAGTTGAGTTGAGTAATGATTGTTAGACGCTTTGGAACATTCTCTCAGAATTTTTCAACCCTTAAAAGTCAACCCTTATTGTGGTTTAATAAAGAAAAAGTTTTACCTTCAAAAAGTTAATAATCTATTATTGACGACAGTTGTTCAGTGTACATTTTGAACAAGGTATGGGTTTTTTTTTTTTTTTTTTTTTTTTGGCTTGGACCAGTGGTCATTCAACCAGCTACGTTATGTATTAATGTTTTTTAATTTACAAAGTTATATTGCCATTTGCTAAAAATTCTATTAAACATGAATAAGCGTTTTTGTTATTATATGCAAGAATTGACATAACATTGTACGGACCCGATATTTTCCTTGCTACCAACTGTTGACTCAACTGTTTTTGCTGCTTTTCAAATTTTTTGCACTCAAAGAAGATGTGGTCTAGACTTCCGACCATTCCGCAATGCTCGCATGCACTATTTGGTAGAACGTTTATTCTAAAAA